CCAGAAGTTGTGTGTAGTTTGAAGATAAGCTACGGACGCGGATTAACAATACCTCCGCAACGCTTTACGATCCTGTTAGACCGGGATCTAAGGGCTTAAAGTGGATTCCAAACCATTACAAATAACTATGGCATCGCGCATATACATTTGGTAAGGTTAAAATTACATTTAACAATTTCAGAAAGTTTAAAAATATCATTTTCCTATCCACGCATAAATTTTAAAAAAAAAGAATGACTTTGTATAAATAAAGCATTTACATTTTTTTTTTTTTTTTTGACTGAACGCTGAGAGAGCTTATAAATATTCCTAGCACTATGATTCTGCACCTATTAAAATGAAAATATTTGTAACATACTAGTGCTTCAAAATTGATTTAAAGTTTAATACTCGGTTTTACAATATTCCTTTTCACAAAGTCATATTCGTAAATACTATGTGTATATAATTATGATTCATGAATTATATGTAATGTTAAATGATAATTGAATTATATGTAATATAATTCAATTTTAACATTTAATTGAAATCTCACGCTCAATTCAACTGGAGAATTTCTCCGCTTGATTGTTTTCCTATTAAAAATTGTGTCTTTTTCGCACGTCATCATCAACGTAGAACAAAAGGTGTGTATTCAGGAAGTGGCAAAATATGCATACGACGAATATAGAAAAATCTTGTTTTTTATTTTTTTAAAAATTAATTCTTTGATTCGGAAAAAGAATGTCGAAGTTTAAGTAATGGTTAGATCATTTGTTCTTAAGTGTGGGATTTTTAATAAAAGACTTTAGTTCACAAAATGGACGTTTGAATACGATTGCTCGTTTTGGAGTCGGAGAATAGAAATCATTCAAAACACATGGTCCACGAAACAGCACTTTTTATTTTTGTCATTCCCTGATGCAACCAGAGAGGAATAAACCACTTAGCTAATTAAACTGCATATAATTACGAACAACTGGAATATTCTCCATTTCATTTGCCTTATGCAAAAATAAATTTGAGGTGGGAAGTGTTCTTCAAAATTCAAATTATCAATTTAAGTACGTTTAAAAATATGAATTTCTTATCTACGCATAGCAGTTTCAGCCAGGAAAGGTTTGGAATTTACGTGGAATTTTAATATTTTATTTGTTCAACAATCTCACGATATAATTTCAATTCGAATCAATTTTCTTATTACTGTAACTTTAAATCCATTAAACATTTAATAGTTTGTGTAGCTTAAAATCGATTTAAAGTAATGCAGGCTTTCACAGAATTCTTTTAATTTTGAATTTAATTATTAAATTACAAAAAGGAAAAAAAAAATTTAAAATTATTTTATTAAATTAAAATTTCTCAATTTATTAAAAGCACAAAATTCCATTGGAAATTTCGCTGGATTGTTTACAAAATTTCTCTTATTCTATTCTTAAATTTGTATTATTCTGATATTATATGTAATTTTTCTTAAATCTCTCTGCACTTCAACTCAACATACAACAAAAGCAGTATATTAGAATGGGAAATAAATTTTGACACAATTAATGTAGATCCGTAATATCCGTATTTTCAATTATATTATCGAAAAAAATTTCATTGCCCATTAAAATAATAATTGATGTAAATGTAATATTATATTTTAAGCAATTATACCTTGACCATTTGTTCAAATAAATTTAATTCGCCGTAAAGTGCATTTTCCAACAAATTTCTTTGAAAACACTCCAATAGAACATAAATGGAATCAATTTCAAAAATTTCA